GGGCGCCACAATAATCCCCATTGCGAAACAATGCACGAACGGAAATATTAGGCGTTAATGAAGGAATATATTATTTAGAACAAACACTAAATGTGGCAGTTATGGAAGCATAAAAGGAAATGGAGAATTCATTATGCAGTAATTGGGATAAGTGGAATAGACTTTTAAAACTGTTTCATCAGTTCTTTTACAATTCTAATAGATGAAATTCATTATAAGTAAAATACAGTTTGCGAGATAAGATCAAATTAATAATCAAGTTATAATAAACCTAAGAAAATTATGAACAGTTAAGAATAGTGACGAAGTTTTTAGATTTTTTCTTTCAGTGTCTCACAATTAACCGCTTTTTCAACATGCATCATGATTATCCTAAATGCTGCGGTTTGCGTGATAAGAAAAAAAAACAAAAACAAAGCGGAATGTTGCTCAACGTTTCAAGTACCTTGTTTCTATTCTATCACAGTCTCGATTTCGTTGTGTCCTGATCCGTAAGTTACTATTGAATGGCTTCTGATGGGTCAGCCTTAGATTTATGGACTTACAATGCTAAAATCCAAGGTTCGATTCCCTGCTGTGAACACAACCCGGATATTCCACTGTATGACTTTGAGATGAAACAAACAATACTATAAATGTTTATACTAAAAGGAAAAGACGCCTATAAAAATAATACTGTACATAATGCGTGTCTGCTTAAAATACCTTTTAAATATTTTAGTTAGAGAACTACAGTGCTTTTATTCCGAATCAGAACACTTCTTACTACACTCAGAGTTTCGAATGCTTATTGAAGATCTGCTTAACTTCTGTTATAGTGTACCACACCTGTATTTAGGTAACCATGGTAACTGATTAGCGTCTTTTCTAATTAAAAAAAAAAGATGTCCTCATCAAGATATATTTTTTGTCCGTCTTCTGGGCTCTAACCTAACCGCTAGGAGTTCAGTCTTTGTAAACTCTTGTTTTAAAGACAGACACGTAGTGTATTTCACAATTCGTTACCTAATACAAAGTATGCATTATAAATGAACATTAAAATATGGTAGCGTATCGGGTAATGGCTAAGTAAGCCACCAACCATTATATTATTATAATTTCTTTAAATCACGCTGTGAATGTTAAAGTTGTGAAATGCTGAATACCAATGTGAATAAATCGGACTCCGTACAATTTTTTTAATGCCTTACAGTATCATTTCACAAATGAAGAGGTACAGGAAACTATTATTATTCTATTATTACAGTTATGCTTACTCAATGTGGAAATGCTTGATAAAAGAGAGCTTTGACTCATTAAAATAAGTTTGTTGTTTTCACAAAAATAGTACGAAAATAAATGTACCTTAAGAAGATCAAGCCGAGAAAATGGGCGCCATCATACGACGATAATATATCAATCTAATATCTATTATAAAATTATGGTATTCGAGTACGTTAAATATAAATGTTGAACATTGTTCTTGGAATATACTATACGTAATAGAAAACCTTCTTTGTAATGCTACTTTAAAAGCCTAGAAAATAATCAGGATTTTTGTTCTTGGAATATACTATACGTAATAGAAAACCTTCTTTGTAATGCTACTTTAAAAGCCTAGGAGATAATCAGGATTATTGTTCTTGGAATATACTATACGTAATAGAAAACCTTCTTTCTAATGCTACTTTAAAAGCCTAGGAAGTAATCATTTTTGTTCTTGGAATATACTAGTACGTAATAGAAAACCTTATTTGTAATGCTACTTAAAAAGCCTAGGAAATAATCAGGATTTTTGTTCTTGGAATATACTGTACGTAATAGAAAACCTTATTTGTAATGCTACTTTAAAAGTCTAGGAAATAATCAGGATTATTGTTCTTGGAATATACTATACGTAATAGAAAACCTTATTTGTAATGCTACTTAAAAAGCCTAGGAAATAATCAGGATTTTTGTTCTTGGAATATACTGTACGTAATAGAAAACCTTATTTGTAATGCTACTTAAAAAGCCTAGGAAATAATCAGGATTTTTGTTCTTGGAATATACTATACGTAATAGAAAACTTTATTTGTAATGCTACTTTAAAAGCCTAGGAAATAATCAGGATTTTGAGTACAATGATAATCAGTAAAAAAACCAGAGCCATTTACATTATTATCTGAAGAATAAAGCTTTTTCCATGAGATTATGATGGTCCAACTTTGGAAAAATAAAAATAAGACTTCAAAAGTTAAGCATATGACAATACATTTCCAGCATAGAAAATCCATGCTTTATTTCAAGTGCAACAAAGCCTGGATAGTATAGTGAATATTATCATAGCGTGTTTTAAGACAACTTCTTTATTGCAAACAGAGCTTTCTCTGTCTAATCTTGGGTGGAATCGCCCTATTTCGGCTATTGTTTAAGTGCCACTCCACCCATCCACCCACTAATAGTAGAACGTGTGCACGAATTGACCTTCTCAGTTCCGTAACTGATGGCTTACAGCTAATCTGGTAGTTCGTACGGATTATCATTCAGCCAACCAAAACGGCGTTGTTTTATGATTTATAACCAGTATATTGGAATAATAGTAAACTTTTCCTTCATTTTTATATAGCTTTTATGATATATATTTATATGCAAATTTATGTTTATTATTACAGCGCGATGCCAGATAAGAAACTACAATAAAAACGAAGTTTGATAATAACTACGTTATTATATATGAATTTATTTACTTAAAAACATGCAGATGTAGTATTAACTACTGTAATTTCTTTTACATATAAAATCAATCGTCAAGGCTTTCGCGTTTGATATGTAACCATAGAATATAACTACTACCCCTCGCAAAAAATGCATAATTGTCACCTTATAATTACCTTTAATCGCTTAGATCACAAATAATAGATACTGTTTATCAATGAATCGACGTTTATATATATATATATAAACGCATTAAGTATAGAGAGTAAGGAATTATAATGGTCATCTGTTAAAATCAAATCTCCTTCCCCGTCCCCAATGGCGACTCAACAACAAGGTTGAGAGCTTATAACGCTAAAGCTAAAGCTCAAATCATTGTGTGGATTTTCGCTGTAAACAAACAAACAAGCTATATTGGAACAGTGTTAGCTTCTTTACCATGGCGTAAAGCGAAACGTTAGCCACGTGAATATAACATTTTTATTTTTTAAAATCTTTCTATTAACCTGAATTTATGAAACTCTGTCTTGCTTTTTTTAACGTGCTGCGAACATGAAAGTGATAGTATATGCATATCTCAATATTCAGAAGTTCCGCTCCTGAGAAAACATCTCATCATTCGTATATATATATATTCATGGGGGTTTTTCCCCGGTGGGACTTACAATTCTAAAAACACCCGGGGTTCGTTTCCCCACAGTGGACACAACAGATAGCCCAATTTGGCTTGGCGCTAAAAAAACAAAACCAGTGGATTTATCTGTACGAAAGCTTACTCTACTCAGGGACTCTATCTCTTCACAAAATATACTATGGAGAGAGAAACAATTTATTTCAAATAAAAGCTTTCTACGCTGAAAACTATAAGTCAGTTCAAAGTGTTATACCTTTATCAAAGCAGGAGGCATTACAAGCTAACGGAAGTACAAGCCGAAAGTATACTGAAAATATAAAACATCTTCACAGACATATTTCCATTGAAGTCCTCCAACGCAAGAAACCGGGTTTAGATACCCGTGATGGGCAGAGCACAGAAAGCCCATTGTGGTCTTTAACTTCAAACAAACAAATTTTCCATTGAACATACACTATACATAGATAGAAAGATAGAATTAGCGTTTCGATTTGCTTTCTTTCTTTCAAAGTGATTTATTTAAAAAAAAAGTCAAGGACCGGGTTCAAGGTTTGTGTCCTGTTGCTGTAAAAACGCTCTCCGACCTTTATGGTCGTGGGTGAACTGAAAGGGGCGGTAAAATTCCACTTTTCGGTCAGACAAGAAATGTTCAAGAATTGGTGGTGGGTGCTGTTGATTAGCTCCCTTTTCTTTATTCTATCACTTCAAAAATAGAGACGTATATTAGTAGGTAACCATTCTATAGACCATTAAAAGTATTATAACCTTTAGAATTGTTGTAATACTTTACTTGTAAGACATACCCCAGAAGCTCATTTTCATGTTTTACAAAAAGGAATTTTACCTGTCTTGTAATTTCCAAGTGGCATATCTCTAGTAATCAGACGAAGTAAACAATATTTACGTTCAAATTTGATGGCTTACAAGTCACTCTTCCATAAGATTAGTGTACTGATAGAAGAAATTTCATTGTTTTTATCCAGATATTAATTAATATGCCAGATTAATTAATGTGGCAGATTAGAACACAGTAATTTTCACAACTTCAAAAGCACAGAATGTCCGTAAATTATGTTAAATTTCTGGAATACAAGTAAAAACATTTTGTGAACGTAATTTCAGTACACAATGTATACAAAAAAAAAGTCACTTGAAGATGGTATTCTAACAATTTATACGACTTAAATTATATAATGCTGTTGATTCTTGTCTGTAGTTAAGTACAAAGCTACATAATGGACTATCTGTGCTCTTGCCCACCACGGGTATCGAAACCCAGTTTCTAGTGTTGTAAGTCCGAAGACATACCGCATTTACTTATGATTATTGAGTTTATGATTCATGTAACAAAAGCTCAACTAAAATGTATCACTTTTGGATAAAATATAGCTACTCGGTGGCTCACCGACAACTATGACGGCTAACGATGGTAAAAAGAAGAGGACAGATATACGTGTAACTTTGTGCTGATCAACAAACAAACAAATAAACTATACTGTAGTATCTAGACAAAAGTCGATTTGAACTGAGCAGCGGTTTTAATAATTTTACCAACAGATATAAATTATTTTATCATTCTACGACAACACTTTTCTTGCATGCCCGAACGACGTAAACTAGTTATTATTTCCAAGTGTCGTGTCGTGTTTATACATCATTAAACAACTGAACAAATTCTTACTGTTGTTAGGAGGATGTTTCCCGCCTTCAAAGTCCGAGTGTCCGGTCTAGACAAGAAGGCAAAGTACATCATGTTGATGGACATTGTAGCAGCGGACGACTGCAGGTACAAGTTCCACAACAGCCGTTGGATGGTGGCCGGTAAAGCTGACCCGGAAATACCTAAGCGGATGTATATCCACCCAGACTCACCCAGCACTGGGGAACATTGGATGCAGAAGGTGGTGTCCTTTCATAAGCTGAAACTCACCAACAACGTTTGTGGACAGCACGGATCGGTAAGCAGAGATGAAAACGCGAATTTTTTCTTCTTCTCAATTCTAACTAATTTTATTATTCCTAAATACAAATCCGACACTCATTGATAAATTGCTTATATTCGTAATTGATATAGTTTAAGAAATATTTCAATTGACTCATAATAATCTTTATAGTGGCAATAGCTCCTGGTAATCGGACGTGACCATCTCTTAAACAAATTGCTTCGTATAAAGAACCAGTCTGTTTCGGTTGACGTAATGTCACGAGGCATGATAATTTTATTTACTGGGTAGTTAATTATACTGAAAAAAATAAACAAACACACAAACGCACGAAAACATGACATGACACAGTAGTGCGCGTGGGACATAAATCTTTCTAAAGCACCTAAAACCATCCAACAAAGGTTTCAAGCAACTTAGAACTGAAACATGAAAGATACTTTTACTTCAATCATTAAAGTTCGAAACTAATATGTTTTTTGATTAGCTTTCGTATTTTTTTCTCGTTCATATACATATATAGTTCTAATTAACATTTTCAGTATGATTGAACAACATAATGTAAAGAATAATTGAATGATTCCAGATTGGAATAATCAAAGTACCCTCTGCCATACGAAGACATATTACACACGGATGAATAAGTATTAAGGATCACATATATTAAAAAACCATCCTCATTTTTTTAACTATGAAAATCAAGCTCCAAAAGTCTCTGGAATTGAGGCCTGTTTGTGGTTACGTTTGTTAATTCAGAAGCTAGAAGTTATTTGAATTTTACCTCTTACATTGAAACTTAAGTATAAATAAATAATTGTATTGTTTCTGACTCAAATATGCACTTAAAAACACTTGCGGTATTTTGTTTTTAAATAAATTCAAACCGAATCACTATTTACTCATTTTGATTTCAAAATCCAGTGTTCAATAAAAATGAATATTTTTCTTATAATAAGCATCCTCAACCTATGATGAAAATTTAACCTTCTCCTCGTGTTACAAAATATGGTGTTGCAGAGGCGTTGCTAGGCGCTGGCACACGGGGCCCGTGCCCCGATTATATTTGACAGTGCTGTGAATCTCCAGTTGGTGTCTTGAAAAATCAGAACAGAAAATCATGATCGATATCATATTGAAACGCCGAAAATTTCTACGTCTGTGGGCCTGAGCCCCGAACATTTTAAGCACCTAGCGACGCCTCTGAGGCGTTGATAAAATTAATTGAAAGGATTTTCTTTTAGAAATGAGGTAGGTATAGTTTCTAACCGAGAATTGAAAAAAAAAATCATGAACAGAAAGTCTGTGTGTGAGAACTGAGTCTCAGACCCTCGTTCACTGTGATCAGTAACCTTTGAATTGCTTGTAAAAAACGAGTTTTGTTGAGCTAATTCAGAAACGGTATTTTTTTGAATATTCTATGATGTTTTATTTTTTGATGTGCGGAAGCTAATATTTCTAATTGCACGTGCTATTTATTTATAATGGTAAACGTACTATCTTTAATTATATATTCTATCAAAACATCGATCTTAAAGCAGCGATAAACAGTTTAGAATTAATAAATCCAATTGTTGGTCCACTTTTGTTGCAGACTTTTGGGTTCAAGTTTTTCTGGTTTGAGTGACTGGATGATACTAAATGTCGCGCAGTTTTTACATTTCATTCATAACGAACGAGTGTCCATGCCCATGTGTTGAAAGAGCAACGTGTGTAATGTTCAAACTTTACGGATACCACGGAACACACCCATCTGCTATAGTACTGGTAATAAAACAGGGCGATGTTGTCATTTTAGTGCGGCTGGTACCATGTTGGTTTGTATAATATCCTAAGAGGCTTAGTCTATTCAGATGTATGAATTCCTCATAAGAGTTTGAACATAAAAAACGTATAATATACGTTAAAATTCGCAGAGACAGGATATATTACCATAACAAAGCTACCACATAGATATTTTGAGACTGACAATACAATACACCACATGAAAAGTTCTACAGCTTTTTCGCTAATTTTTTCTGTAATTTTATGCTTGTCCCCACCCCCTTTATTGCTTTTTTAAAGTTTACTGTTACTCCAAGTTATTCTGTATGACTGTTTTTATTCAAAACCATTAATAGCTAACTCTTTCAAGGAATGTTTGCAAAATGTAACGCCAAACGTTGTATTTATTTAGAATGTTCGATACAACTTCAAATATGTGATATTCACTTTGAAGAATAACATTCTGATAAAATAAACAAACAATAATCGGTACAAAAAATATATATATATACATATTCCACCTAAGAGCAGATCAATTTAAGTGTTCTCTGGTTCTTTTTTTCAGTTTTGGTTTTGAATTTCTTTACGTATAATTCATCTACAGCTTATTCTATTTTCAATTATTTCTTAATTTTATAATTTTTTTAACTGTTGCTATTTTCATCCTTGCCTACCAAATCTACGAACAAATTAACTTCTGTATATAAAAAAAAATAATGGCTTTGCTCACTTTCTAGATGTTGGAAACGTTAGCCATGGTAGTAAAGTGTTAATCTCCGTTACAAATATTTTGTAACACTTTTCTTGTAGACGATCCTGAACTCTATGCACAAATATCAGCCAAGATTCCATTTGGTACAGACCAACGACATTCTCAAGCTCCCGTACAGTACGTTCCGTACCTACGCCTTTAAGGAGACGGAGTTCATTGCTGTTACTGCCTATCAGAATAAAGAGGTGAAGTAATTATTGATATTTTTTAATTCACAAAACACATTACGTGTTGAAACTTGATAATCGAAATTTGATATTACATAAAACTTACTGGTCCAAACGTTTTGAATAAGACACTGCTGAGTAAGATTGTGATAATGCATTATATAATTTAGGGACTTTAGCTAAGTGATCACCTATGAAAGTTTTATAGAGCATGGTGTTTCATTTCCAGATCAGTTTAAATTTTCATGAGTGTAGTAGTCTGAGTAGTTGAAAAAGTGCCTTACTAACAAACGCTAGAGAGCTAGCTTGGCCTTTAGATCAGTTAGTATAGAGCACTCGCCTGGTATGTGCAAAATCTCGTGTTCAAATATATTGAAGTGAAGAAAAACATACATAAAATTACCGTTAAGCGAAACGTTGAATTAATCACTTATGTTATGTGAGAATGTGTCCCAAGAATGACGAAGATCAAATTAATTTATGTGTTTTATGTTTTTCCCCTTCTGTTGAAAATAAAATTCAAATTGCTGGTGATAAAATACTGTTTTTTTTTCAGTTTTACTTCTTAAATAGTGTAAAAAAACTGTATTGTAATTATTAAATATACGTATGGGTTGGATTAACAAAACATGTGATGTACTTTAGCAAATAAGCTATAAAAGAAGTTAAATATATTCCTTGTATAACTATCTTTCAAACAATTATTTTTCAATAACCATCTTAACCCTAAAAATACGGAGAGAGGACATAGAGACATTATTGACTTTTCAACCCCGTTTTTCGAAACTACTTAAGTATCAAAGTGTTCGTGGATCTGTGACTGTTGGTTATAGGGGCTGAATAGCAAATAAGTCAAAGAAAAATATCATCAGTATTGCATTTAATTCCATTAATTACTATGGGAGATTTCATTCAATTTCCTTTTGCTATTTCATTACACTGTAATAGGCAAAGAATATACAATTACTCAACATGATGTAATATATGGACTATCACCAGTAGTGAATGGTATAAACACGTAATATTAACATGATGTAATATATGGACTATCACCAGTAGTGAATGGTATAAACACGTAATAATTTGATTGTTAAAGTAAAATTGGGACATTTTTTTTCTTGATTGTGTGCATTCGTAAAACTCTCAGAAATTAAAGAGAAAAGCCATGTTGAATTTGACAACTTTAGATGTTAATAATGGCTGGAGACGGCTTCAAGCCGTCTCCAGCCATTATTAGTCTCAAAGTGGGTTCCTCGTCACCGAACTTTAGATGTTGTTTACAGGTTGTTGAATGGTATCACCCCCTCCAGAATAGTCAGTATTGAGCATTTTCTAATTTGATTGAATGCAACTAGTGCGTAATTTATAACAAAATAACTTAAAATTAATTTACCATAATTCAAACATGTAATTATTCTAAGTCACCTATTTGTTTAGTTCCAACTGGAAATATTGTGATCTTGCTTATGAATTAAAGAAAACGCTATTACTGGAACCGCGTGAAACGTAAATTAAAGAAAATATGGCAAGCAAGCAACATGTTAGTTAAACCAGTGGTTTCCAAACTCAAGTAAAGTATCAGGGGGCCCGTGACAAATACACAATACTGTTAAGGTATTCATTATCTAAAGATACACTGAGTAGATTGGTGGGAGGCTCAGTCAGGATGCGAAATGTTTCAAGGGGGGCCTTGTGCTGAGAAGATATGGGAACCCCTGGGCTAAATCATTAAAACTGTACAACGGATAACAAAATGGCGTTTACTGGAAGCTAGAAATTTTATTGGATACATAAAAAATAAAATAGCTGAGCAGTAAGTAAAGTGTATGTGTTAAGAAGTGTTGGCAGGAAAAGAAGTAAAATACAGCAGCTGAATAATTTGTAAAAGAATGTATTGCGTTTTCAGAAGAGAAAAAAATTGCAAAAACCTTACTTAAATGTATTATAGTTTCTGTTAAAAACTCGTGACACCTTCCTGTGTACAATAATGTTGTTAACAGGATATACCTGTACAATAATCTTGTAAACATAATGTACCTGTACGATAATCTTGTAAACAGGGTGTACCTGTACGATAATCTTGTTAGCAGGTTGTACCTGTACGATAATCTTGTTAGCAGGTTGTACCTTTACGATAATCTTGTAAACATGTTGTACCTGTACGATAATCTTGTAAACAGGATGTTCCTGTACGATAATCTTGTAAACAGGATGTTCCTGTACGATAATCTTGTAAACAGGTTGTACCTGTACGATAATCTTGTTAGCAGGTTGTACCTGTACGATAATCTTGTTAGCGGGTTGTACCTGTACGATAACCTTGTTAACAGGTTGTACCCTATTCTTTCTTAATTGTTACAGTATTGGTTAGAATGTTTAACATATTTATTTTTACTATTTTTAAATTTTTATTGTAACGATAATTTTGCATTGTTAGATTAGTATATGTATTTAGAACTAGCATAAATCTCCTAAACAAACCTGAACCTCGTGGGATATTATTGGAATTATGACTGAAGAAACAACGTATTCTAATCTTCGTAAATAAGAACGGAACAAGTAAGCTATATTGAATTCTGAGGTGATTTTTAGTTTTGATCTATGTAGGTTCTTAATTACATGCATTAGTTTATGTTATATTCCATAACTTCACATAATGAGATAGAATATAATATTTCTGATATTTCACTAATATACAATTTGAAAGTTCTGTTATAAAGATGTGGGACATTAATTTCTACACATTCTATTTTTAATTTAGCAATAATTTCGAGGCACTTATAACAAGGACAAACGTTGTTTAACCTACAATACTCACTTCAGGCCTTGTAACACGTTTTGTTCTCGCATCTAATGACAGTTTTGAGCTACTTGACAAGTTTTATTGTTTAATTTAACAATTAAGTTCGAGATATTAGGAACAAACTTTGTTTAACCTACAATACTCACTTCAGGCCTTGTAACACGTTTTGTTCTCGCATCTAATGACAGTTTTGAGCTACCTGACAAGTTTTATTGTTTAATCTAACAATTAAGTTCGGGATATTAGAAACAAACGTAGTTTAATCTACAGTATTAATTTCAGGCCTTGTAACACGTTTTGCCCTTTCTTGTAATAACAGTTCTGGGGAACTGGAAAAGTATTCTTGCTTTTATTTACTAATAATTTTATGGTACTTATGACAAATTTTGTTATTTAATTATAAAAAAAAGGGGGACAAACGTTTTGTTTTTTAATCTAACAAAAATGTCAGGGTATTTTTGGCATGAGTTGTTTAATCTATAATGCTAATTTCAGGACTTGTGCCTTTTAGATGATTTATTCCAAATTCAGTTCCTCACATACGTTTAATTTTTTTTTCTAAGTGTACTATAGGTTAAGCCGATTTTCAGCAGATCTGTTTACCTGAAGAAGTTTTTAACTAGTCATTACTCAAGCTTGATATAGCATTATAGTCAGGGTACTTGGGTATCGAATGTCGAGTAATGCTGGTAGAGACCGCCCCTTTGCTTTCTTCTTTGAATGCCATAAATCACCAACTTGCATTCCCCAAATAATGTCTGTTGCAGCTGTAAGTGTTCCCATAAGCTTCTGTTACAGTTTAGTAGGCATTAGTTTACGCTAGCAGATCCGATCGAAGCCAATCCTTTGTGTATTTTAACCTGTTTCAGGGCGGACCTTAGCACCACATTATCTTGAAAATGTATGTATGTACATCAAGTAGAGTCTGTATATGAGTGATTATAACTTAGATGTTGCCCATAGTCCATGTTTACTGACATATGCTTATAGTGAATGCGCCATAATTTAGTATCGGCGCTTTCAGCTGATCGGAAATCTCGTTATTTAGTATCTTTTGTTATAAAGTGTTATTTGGATGTTGCCCATAGTCCATGTTTACTGACATATGCTTATAGTGAATGCGCCATAATTTAGTATCGGCGCTTTCAGCTGATCGGAAATCTCGCTATTTAGTGTCTTTTGTTATAAAGTGTTATTTGGATGTTGTCCATAGTCCATGTTTACTGACATATGCTTATAGTGAATGCGCCATAATTTAGTATCGGCGCTTTCAGCTGATCAGAAATCTCGTTATTTAGTGTCTTTTGTTATAAAGTGTTATTTGGATGTTGCCAAATTTAAAGTATTCGTTTTCAGTGGCGATTAATATGAAACGTACATTATTCAGTTAGTCTTATTTGTATCTTGTGAGGTTACAATAATCCCGGGATTTATATTGTATTTTATAATTAAAGGATTACATTTGTGCTTTAAAAACCTAAAAACGAATTTACCTGTTTGTGTTATAATATCACTTAGTATATATCAGTGAGATGGCAACAGTAATTCAAACAAATATTTTTAGGTATACATGCGAACACTAATCTACTAATGAAAAACAACATATGAAGGTCACCCAAAGGTCATAATGGACTTATGTTTGATTACGTGTAAAAACGTCTAACGTATTGTTTCTCATTTCATGTAGCTTGGCATAGCTAAATGAAATTTTGTTTGGTTTAGTTAAGAAAGCGACGGCGTATTTTGAATATTTCGAGCATAAACAGTTAGCACTGAAGGGAAAATTCAGAAGTTCTTCCGGTAGATAAAATTTGTTGAGATCAAGCTGGAAAATGGTCAACGTAAAACTTGTAGTACTCAAATGAAATAAACAAAAGCGTTCAAACACAGATTTTTAATACATGTTTGAAAGGGAGGGAAAGATTAATGCTGGAATGGATCTTGCAAATAGGTTGGACGAGGGTTTAGCTGAAAAACATAGTATTTACACACCGACAGGTGGCGGGATAGAGGTAGTTATAATAAGTATTGTGCATGGATTTCTCCTGATGGATGAAATGGGCAAAACTGAGTTAACACGTCCAGCTAGATATGCCATTTAGAAGTTAAGCAAACACAACACAAACACACACACACACAACGTGAGTTATAAATTGGTAGAACAAAACATATATATATACATGCATACACCTGTAACGATAAATATTCTAGTAATGAAGGTTTTTATAATGCTGTGCTAATGGGGATTTATAATTAATCCTGTTTTAATGGATTTAATATTTTACTTAGTTACTTAATATTTTACTTATGGAGATTTATCATATACACTGTAGCGATAAAAGTTTATTACTGGAGGTTTTTTAATGTTGAGCTAATGGGGATTTATAGCTAATCCTGTAGGAGTGGAGGTTTGACAATGTCCTGTTAATGGGGATTTATCGTTAATCTTATCGTAATACTGTGCTAATGGAGGATTAAATATTGTAATTGTCATTTCAATGACGAGAAACCCACTTTGAGACTAATAATACTTGGAGACGGCTTGAATGGCCAATGAAGAAACATTTAATATAAGTTAATATAACAGACAAACGTACGACGTTTTACTAAGGTTTGTCTATCATCATAGACAACGCTATTA